AAAAAAAATGTTAATTAATTAACTGCAAAACTTTGCTTTCTGTTTCCGTGGAATTTTTAAACAAATAATATATGTTTTTAAAATAATATATATATTTTAAAAAATATGTAAAATCCTTTAACCAAAAGTTTAAAATGCCAATGTACTGCTAGTGAGGGAGATAGTGTCATTTATGGCAACCAGGGACTTCAAATTTACTTAAAGCTTCTAGTATTGGGGAGATGAGGAAGAAAGGAAAGGCAGGGTGGGGATGGAGTTCTGGGGATCAGAAGCTTTGAGCTATAAGAGATCAGAGCCTGGAGAGTAGAGGAGTATCCCAACAATGAACCAGAATTGTAAAGTTTGGACATTTTCCCATTTTCTTTCCTGGAGTGAGGTCAGCTGTGGTACAAGACAGAAATGGGGCTTGGCATCCGGACAGCTGACTTTTGCTCCAGATCATTAGTTCTTATACCTTTCACCTTGGCCACCTCTCTCTCAGCCTCTGTGTCTGGCACCTTTCCCCAGAACGGCCCATCATGCTCTTTAAAGAAGGAAACTAAAAAAACAAAAACAAATTTACTGCCATGGAGTCAGTTCTGACTCATAGCAACCCCCGTTGAGTTTCCAAGGCTGTAGATCTTTACAGAAGCAGACTGTCCCATCTTTCTTCCGCAGAGCAGCTGGTGGGTTCAAACCTTTTGGTTAGCAGCCAAATGCCTTAACAATTACACCACCAGAACTCCTTCAAAGAAAGAAACATGCCTACCTGAATGGGAGTTCAAGTTCTTCATTCCAGCTGGGGTTTGGTCCTTCAGCCGTAGTTGTGTGGCAAATAGTTCGTTGAAAAGAAACTTCTACAAAAGGACGTACTAAAACCTTAAAATCAAGAGCAGATTGTAAGAGTCTGTGGTAGCTGAATAATTTTGCTCTTAGCAGAAGCAGAATGTGTGCACTAAGAAAATGAAACAGAAAACAGGCTGTGACGTTGATAAGTAATTCGTAACGCAAAAGCATTAGGATTCAAAGCTAGAGTTCAGCATGTGGATGTTTCACCTGGCTGAGGGGGTAGTCCACGCTGTGGGTTGGGCTGTACGTGGTCGGGGAAGCAGCATGCTTTTCATTGAAAGTCCTTGAGGACCTCGATGGCTGCTGGAATTTGCTAGGAGGCAAAATGTATGAATGAAAATAAATGACAGGGAAAGTGGAAGACAGTTTCCCTCAAAGATGATGGTCTCTGGTGACTGTGAGTGAGACATTCTCCTTAGGCTCGTTGACCCAGACGCCTTTAGTTTGGTCCTTTGGAGATAGCTAGTGACTTCTAGAGCCTCCCCAATTACTGCCCCAGGCCTGCTGGTCTGGCTGAGAATAGCAGCCAAAGTCCCCTTCTCTGTCCTCTCCTGGGGACTCCCTGAGCAGGACCCCATGTTTCCCACCACAAATGAGAGCCCCGCCCCTCTCAGGTAGCAGAATTCTCTGCTTCCAGACCAGCTTGGCCCCTCTCCATCCAGCTCCGGCCCTCTCTCATTGTATTTTCTCTGAACCTGCACTCGCTGGAGACCCTGAACTCCATATCCCAGGCAAGGGATTTCCCTCTGGGCCCATGAAGCTTGGTGGAAAGGGAGGCTGAGGGATTCCTAGCTTGGGTTGAGTTCAATGGGGTTTTCCCTCTTCCTTCTGCCTTCTGAGCTGCTAGTCTGTCTTGCTGTTTTCTTTAATTGTGGTGAAAATTACCTAACAAAACACATGCCAACTCAACGATTCCTACATATGTAATTCAGTAATGTCGATTACATTCTGCAAGTTATGGAATCATTCTTGCTATCTTTCCCAAATCATTCCGTCACCATTAGGATAAACTCAGTGTCCCCTAAGGAGCTGCCGTAATTAAAGGAACGAATGAAGGTCACTTCCAGAGCCTCTCCCTGCGATCTCTCCCCACCCCACAATGGTGCTCAACATGACAGTTCACCAAATAGTTCACATTCATTACTGGACAAAGTATGAATTAGCCTTTTCTTCTGGGCTATCTCACCCTTTCACAGCTAAGCATGTTAGCCTACTAGCAGACAAAACAAGTGGAGTATTTAACACAACAGTTGCCAGAGAAAACCCTTTTCTCTTTGGAAAACCATCAATTACATTATTAAACAACCATTCGTTAAGTATCTACTTTATGTTAAACTTAACATTATATCCTGAGGCTGCAAAGATGAGTAAGACAACATTTCTACACAAGATAGATTGGAAGGAGTATGAGATTTGGGCAGACTTAATAGAAGAGCTAGGAGCTCTGGTGGCGTAGTGCCTAAGGCATCTGACTGCTAACCAGAAGGCTGGTGGTTCCTCAGCCACTCCTTGGAAGATTGGGCAATCTACTTCCACCAGAGCTCCTTCCATAGAGATACCGCCTCAGAAACCCAAGGAGGGATCACTATGAGTCAAATTCAACTTGACAGCAATGAGTATGGTTTAATGAAAGAGCTTAGATAACTGTCCTGATGAGTCTACAACGAAATGTATATAGAACAAGATTAGCTCTGCTTCCTTGCAATTGTGGCACAAATGGTTAGGTGCTGGACTATTAGTCAAAACGTTGGTGGTTTGAACCCACCCAGAGGCACCTCAAAAGAAAGGCCAGGTGACCTTTTTCTGAAAGGAACCTTAGGGAGCAGTTCTGCTCTTTACACATGGGGTCACCATGAGTTGGAACTGACTTGACAGCAACTGGCAACAATTATTTGAGTCAAGTGGTTTGTTGTTGTTAAGTGCTATTGAGTCAGTTCCGACTCATAGCGACCCAACAACAACAACAACACACTGCCCTGTCCTGCACCATCGCCACAATCACTGCCGTGTTTGAGCCCACTGTTGCAGCCACAGCGTCAACAAGTATTGTTGAGGGTCTTCCTTTTTTTAGCTGATCATCTCCTTTACCAAGCACGATGCCCTTCTTCAGAGACTGGTGCCTCCTACTAACATGTTCAAAGTATGCAAGACGAAGTCTCACTGTTCTCACTTCTGAGGAGCATCCTGGCTGTACTTCTTCCAAGACCGATGCGTTCATTCTTCTGCACCAATCTGTTCATTCTTCTGGCAGTCCAGGGCATACTCACTATTCTTGGCCAACACCATAATTCAAAAGCATCAATTCTTTTTCAATCTTCCTTATTCATTGTCCAGCGTTTGCATGCATATAAGGTGACTGAAAATATCATGACTTGGGTCAGGTACACCTTACTCCTCAAAATGACATCTTTGATTTTTAACGCTTTAAAGAAGTCTTTTGCAGCAGATTTGCCCAATGCAATATGTTGTCTGATTTCTTAACTGCTGCTTCCAGGGACATTGATTTTGGATCCAAGCAAAATAAATTCCTTGACAACTTCAGTCTTTTCTCTGTTTATCATGATATTGCTTATTGGTCAAATTATGAGGATTTTTGTTTCCTTTATGTTGGGGTGTAGTCCATGCTGAAGGCTGTAGTCTTTGATCTTCACCTGTAAGTGTTTTAAGTCATCTTCACTTTTGGCAAGCAAGGTTGTGTCATCTGCGTATTGCAGGTTGTTAATGATTCTTTCTCCAGTCCTGATGCTGTGTTCTTCTTCGTATAGTCCAGCTTCTCAGATTATTTGTTCAGCATACAGATTGAATAAGAACGGTGAAAGGATACAACCCTGACCCACACCATTCCTGATTTTAAACTGTGCAGTATTCCCTTGTTCTATTCAAACAACTGCCTCTTGGTCTATGTACAGGTTCCTCATGAGCACAATTAATTGTTCTGGAATTCCCATTCTTTTGCAATGTTATCTGTAATTTATTATGATCCACACAGTCAAATGACTTTGCATAGTCAATAAAAGACAGGTGAACATATTTCTGGAACTCTCTGCTTTCAGCCAAGATCTATCTGTCATCAACCGTGCTATCCTTCATTCCACATCCTCTTCTGAATCCAGCTTGAATTCATGGCAGTTCCCTGTCTATGTATTGCTGCAACAGTCTCTGAATTATCTTCAGGAAAATTTTACTTGTGTGTTTTATCAATGATATTGTTTGATAACTTCTGCATACTGTTGGAATACGTTTCTTTGGAATGGGCATAAATATGGGTCTCTTTCAGTTGATTAGCAGGTAGCTGTCTTCCAAATAAGGAGCTCTGGGGGCATAGTGCCTAAAGCATTTGACTGCTAGCTAGAAGATTGGTGGTTCAAACCCACTAGCTACTCCATGGAAGGAAGGATGGGCAATCTACTTCCATAAATATTAACTGCCTCGAAAACCTGAAAGGGGTCACTATGAGTTGGAATCCACTCAATGCCGGTGAGTTTGGTTTTGGTTTGGTCTTCCAAATTTCTTGGCATAGAGGAGTGAGCACCCCCAATGCTACATTCATTTACTGAAACATTTCCATTGATACTCTGTCAATTCCTGGAGCCTTGTTTTTTTTGCCAATGCCTTCAGTGTAGCTTGGACTTCTTCCTTCAATACCATTAGTTCTTGATCATATGCCACCTCCTGAAATGGTTGAATATCCACCAATGCTTTTTGTACAGTGACTCTGTGTATTCCTTCCATATTCTCTTGATGCTTCTTGCATCATTCATTGTTTTACACATAGAATCCTCCAACATTGTGCAACTTGAGGCTTGAATTTTTCCTTTAGTTCTTTCAGCTTAAGAACGGCCACGCATGTTCTTCCCTTTTGGTTTTCTAACTCCAGGTCTTTGAACATTTCATTGTAATTCTTTACTTTGTCTTCTTCAGCCACCCCTTGAAATCCTCTATTCAGGTGTTTTGCTTCATCATTTCTTTCATTCTCTTTACCTACTTCTGTGTTCAAGAGCAAGTTTCAGAATCTCTCCTGACATCCATTTTAGTGTCTTCTTTACTGTCTTTTTAAATGGCTTTTTGCTTTCTTCATGTATGATGTCCTTCAATGTCATCCTACAGTATGGTCTTTGGTTCAATACATCAAATCTATTCTTGAGATGGTCTTTCAATTCTGGTAGAATATATTCAAGGTCATACTTTGGTTCTAGTGGATTAATTTTTCTAGTGTTTTATTTAATTTTCTAGTGTTTTAATTTTCTTTGGTTTCAACTTGAACTGCATGCATCTGTTCCTCAGTCAGCCCCTGGCCTTGCTTTTACTGATAATATTGAGTTTCCCCATCATCTCCTTTCACAGATGTAGTTGAATCGATTCCTATGTCTTCATCTGATGAGGTCCACATGTATTGTTGTCATTTATGTTGAAAAAAGAGCTTAAATGGACATTCAAAATAGGAAAGCATTGGGGATAGTTGGTGATGACCAGCTTTCTGTAATGGCTGAAAGAATAATTCAGTGAAGAAAAGTGATGCAAATTAATGGGGTAACAAGAGGGGAAAAAAGGAAAAATAAATGAAAGAGGAAGAACCTAGGAAGGAAAGAAGGTTCCAAAGGCTAGCGTGTCTCTTCTATGGCATCAGGCAGCACTGAAAGACCTTGGGCAAGCCACCTACATGCTCTTTACTTCTGTTTTCTGCATTGTATTATGGAGGTAGTAATGGCAGTGAAAGAGAAATGAAATGGTATATGTGAAAATTCCAGCACAGTGCCTGGAATATGGTGAATGTACAATAAATGAGACAGGCAAACAAGAACTTTGAATTCTTGGTCCTTCCATCTTTGTTCTCCAAGGAAATAAGAAGCTCAGACCTGTCTTACTTGCAGGTAAGGGTTCCCCCTTATCCCCAGTAGTGTGACCTGTAGAAGTCATAAGTCATTTTTCTGAACAGATAAAAGGAAAGTCACACTTGTATGCTCATAGCACATACGTTTCAGCAGCTAACACAGACACCTCACACCCACTTCTCTGGGAACTGCCCCCTACGTTCAGGGCTGGTCCTTGTGACCCTGTGTCTTTGGCCACAGGTGATAAGACCATAGATCAATACCTGACCCAAGTTAGGTCCTTCAGATTCTCTCCTGAGAAGATGATGTTGGGCTGGTGGGACCCTGGCTGGACAAACCAGTAGTACCACATGGGGACCAATGAAGCAAACCCAGAGAGGGAAGTGAGAGCAACAGTGTGGCCGCAGATAAGCCATCTTCAACCCTGCAGTCTCTCATAAATTCAGCTGCACTTCTTCTCCTTGAGTTTTATGAAATATTTTCAATAAATCCCCTCTTTGGCCTAAAATTGGCTGAATTGGTTCTGGGTCTTGTAGCCAATGGAGTTTGACTATGACCAGCCTTCACCAAGAAGCTCCTGCCCCTCCAAATAACGTAACTATGTTGAAAACAAAGAGGAGGCATGTGACAAAGAGGGGTGGTCTGGGCAGGGACCCTGCACATTGCCTCCTGGGGCTGCTCAGGGGCTGCTCACCTTGCTGTGGGCTTCCTCACAGGGATGTCATAGGCCCGAACGATGTTCACCAGCAGCTTTATGTCTCCATCAGACAGGTTTTGGGCTGTCACCTTCTTCCGTCCTTTTCTCCTGGGCCTCAGAGGTCGCTTTTGTTCTGCCAGCTTGAAAAGGCTTAGGCCCAAAATGCTAATGATTACAGAACAGGATTTAGACACAAAGGAAAAGAGAAGTCTGCAGAGTTGTAAAGTGACTTCCCAAAGTCTGCCCCCATGTCCCGCAGAGGCCCCTAAAACACTCTTTGTCCTTTAAAGGGGAGTGGGAATAGTCTAGAAATTCTCCCAATAGCGCTTATTTCATGGATCATTGAAACTGATTTTAGCTGCTACTTTATCAGAGAAGCAAAGCACCATGTGGCCATTCCTGAACGTGCTGTCTTCCTCTCTTGCCTTGCTCATCCACTGGTCCCTGCAACGTGCCCTGTGCTCTCCCTCCGTTGGCCCATGTCATTCCCTGGAATGAGGAATGCTTCCCATCCCCTTCTTCCCCATCTACCTAGTGAGTTGCAGTTTCCCCATCCTTCAGGGCCCACATCTCCCCGTCTTGCCATGGCCTGGCCATGTCAGCTGTATGGGGTGCCCCACTGGAACACTTGTTTAGCCTGTTCCATTCGCCTGAGAGTTCCTCCAGCAGCTGCTGGGACATGCCTCTCTCTGGAGTTAGACAGAACTGGGTGTGTGACTTCTGGCTCTGCTCTGACATTGGACAAATTATTCCACCTCACCTCTCTGTTTCATTACTTGTAAAATGAGGGTAGTAATCCTACATCATGGTACAACCTCATGGGGTTGCAGAGAGGATTGAATGAGGAGGTGTGAACAGAGCACCTTGGTACTGGCCTAGCATTCAGGAGGTGCCCTAATGTGGCAACTGGTATTAGGACAATGACAGTGATGACAATGCCAGTGACTAAGCTGGAGGAAGAGGAGGAGGTGCGGTGGAGACAGATGGGGGAGGAGGAACAAGAGGAATCTTTTGTCATGTCTCTCTGCCAGCCTCCGATTACCCAGTGAGTAAAGTAAGCATGGGCTTACTTGTGCTAAATAACTACTCTATAGTGAAAAATTTCACATGTTTTCACCATATCAAAGATTCTGCTTCTAAGAATGGCTGGCATCTCTCTCTCTTCCAATGCCAAGCACCTTCCTACATAATCAAAGCCTCTTTTCAAATTTACAGTCCCTGATGGGGGTGGAGTACCAGTAAGGAAGGTAAACAGGGGCTTATTTAGATTTATTTACTAATCCATAGTGAAACTATAATTACTAATCTCTCGTGAAACTGCAGATTAGAAACGAAGTAACCGATGAGTGAGTAAGCCCAAGGAAGCCTGTGCTTTCCTTGCTGACTGGGTAATCCAGCACTGCTCCTTGCCTTTCACTGAGCTGACATTCAGTAGAGGCTTCCTGGAAGGTGGACGCTGCAGAGCCAGGGAGTCCTGGGAGAAGGGCCCAGGGAGCAAATAATTAAATTCTGGCCCAGAGACGAAACAGGCATAGAAGTGACGTTGTATCTGCAGGCTGACGTTAATGACTGGGCCAGAGAGCCACAGAACACAGCCAGCTGTGCCGAGCTGGCCTGGGGTGGCGATGCCCGCCATTCTCCCAGAAGGAGCTGTGCCTGCGTCCCTGCTGAGGCTTGGCCCTGGCTGAGCGCTGAGCTTTCCTGTGCCCCTCACCCAGGGGGCAATCAGCTAAGGGGGTGAGGGCCCTGCAGCTTCTGCCTCGGCTCCATCCATGGCTCCCTGGAGGAATCCCCAGGGGCTTCCTGGAGCTGGGGTCCCACTTATTCTCCAGGGTCTTCTGTCCACAGAGCACAAGAGTAGCTAGCTACCATGTGTAAGCACCTTCTCTGTGGCAAAGAGAGTGCTAGGTGCTTCAAATATAATGTTTATCATCCTTACAAGTATACTATTCAATTACATTAAGTCTAATATAATTTCAACACACTTGCTAGTCTGAGAGATGACATGATTTGCTGAAGGCTCCTCCTGGTAGAAAGGGGAGCCAGGGTTCAAACCTGGGTCACACTAACTTCAAAGCCCATGGTCTCCATGACTCTGCCAGGATGCCTACCTGACCCGGACCTGGGGATCTCAGAGGGACATCTTTGCAAGGGGTCATATGACACAATGCTTCCCTCTCTCAATACTTCCTCCCTCCCCTGAGGTGGCTCCTCCCGTGAGACCTGGTTGCCCCCATAGCAAGCAGCATGGGAGCAGCATGTTGGCTGAGACCGTTAAATACAGAGACATCTTAGTTGAAAGCCACGAACAAACCAAAATTAAATGAAAAGAACATACCCTGAGCCTTCAGAACTTAATGCAGAAAGTAAAGCACGCGGGAAAAAAAAGGAAAGAAAGAAAGAAAAGAAAAGGAAAAACAGCATGAAAAATCACCATCTATTCTAAATGCAATTTTCACGACTGAAAAAGCATTTAAGGACTGGACTCTGACCCTGGAATAAAGATGAGGGCTTGCAGGAATTGATGCGGCATGATCTCACTTTGGTGCGTGGATGGAGGCAAAGCCAGAAAAGGGGCCACTACGACATCACAGTTGCTCGTCTTTCTCCCAACCTGACAGTGTTTCAAAGGAGAGGAAATACATCCATAGGAAATGATCTTGTAGGCGATCCAAAGGTTTGATGCCAGATAGAGGTGATGACGTGGACAGACAGCACCAGGGAAAGCCCAGCCCCTGATTTCCAGTGGATTCCGAGTCACGGTGACCCCGTGTGTTACGGGACGGGACTGCTCCTGGTGGGACTCTGTGGGGACGCAGACCACCAGGCCTTTCTCCCACAGCGCTGCTTGCTGTGCTGCCCCCACCAGCCTTTAGTTAACAGTGGACACTCACCACCCCGGGGCCTTTGCACGGCACAAGACCCTCCATTTCAGAAATCGTCTCTAAATTTATTTATTTATTTTTGCATACAGCCCTAGTTGAGATAACTGAAGGATTATTCTAAATAACAGGAAGTCAATCAAGCAAATACAGTCAATTCCCAATTTCCACATAAATATCTATTTTTCCCTTCACCAAACACACACATCAGTTCTCTTCCTTCCAGCTGTGGTGAGGGTACCGGGCCTCCTTCTCCTGCCCCTGAATCTCTGGGGTTGGCTCATCAGCCGTCTCCACTGCCACGTGATGGGAGGGAGAGCGAGGGCATGCCTGCCCTGGGGGGTCATGACAGCAGGAGGGAAAGGCTGTCACCTTGACTGGAATGAGAAAATGGCAGAGACTAGTAACCTTTAGAGCAGTGACAGGTGAAATGGACTCTGGAATGTGATGGGATTGGGTCTACAATGACTTGTAACTGGAATCCCTCAACTCGTGATCATGAGGTGTTCACCAGGTTTTTACCAGGTGTGGGCCACCAGAGCTCCCAAGGCATACCATAGAATGAGAAAAACCTCATCATTGTACAGCATCCTTCATATGTTTTTGTTGTTGTGTGTTGTTGAGTCAACTGTCACTCTCAGTGACCCTATAGGACAGGGTAGAACTGCCCCATAGGGTTTCCTAGGCTGTAATCTTCACAGAAACAGACTGCCACATCTTCCTCCTAGTGGAGCGGCTGTTGTTGTGGTTGTTATGTGCCATCGAGTTGGACCCGACTCATAGCGACCCCTCCTTGGGTTTCTGAGGCAGTATCACTACGGAAGTAGATTGCCCCATCTTCCTTCCGAGGAGTGGCTGGTGGGTTTGAACCGCCAGCCTTCTGGTTAGCAGTCAAGTGCCTTAGGCACAACGCTACCAGAGTGGCTAAGAGGTTCAAACTGGTGACCTTTGGTTAGCAATTGAGCACTTAATTATTGTGCCACCAGGCCCCTTATCTTTCACATAACAAAATCAAAATAATAATTTTTAATAAATGAAATAAAGTGTTTGATTGTTTTTACCTGATATTGGGAACGTCTTCTTCTACTATCAAATCAGAAAGAAGAAAGTGGTGTTTGGCAATTTGGAAACGATTTAGCACCGATTCTCTAACCTGGGGAAAAAAATCAGTTTGATTTAAAATGTTGTTATGATATTTTCTGCTGGCCTGCCAAGCTCCTTCAGCTCACGTTCCCACTTCCCACACCCTTTTCTGGACGACTTTCCACATACTATGCCTGGGATCCTGTGGAATGTCAGGTAAAACCCGCCAGTTGTGATGGTAGGCTTAGCAGAGAAGCAGAGGATAGAGCCAGGGAGAGGGAGAGTAGGATGGGGGAGGGAGAGCGGAGGGGAGGAGGAGGGAGAGTAAAGGAGGAGGGAGTGGGGAGGGGGCCGGGGTAGAGGGCACAGGCTGCTTCTGCTGTGACATTACATGAAACTTCCAAAATTTGCCCTTCACCATTTTTTGCATTTCTGGTGGATTCTTTTAACCCTGTAAGCCATTGACAGAACATTTATTCAAATGCAATGTGACCCATGCTGATGGACTAAAGGGATTTTTTTTCCCTTGATTATTTACTTCTCAGCTCAGGTCTTCCTTAAAAAAAAAAAAAAAAAAAAAGTAAACCTCATTTTCTGAAGACTTCTAGTCTTTACCCAGTTTCATTTTTCTCCACAGTGCTGCCACCTCCTACTGTCAACAACCTACTTCCCTGCAAGCTCCCTAGAGACAAAGATTTTTCTGTTTTGTTTACTGTTGTTACATGCCCAGGGTCTGAAAAGGGTAACTGAATTTTGCTCAGTGAAAGAATTAACAGAAAACAATAGGACCAGTCTCAAACCATACACCATCTAGAGCTAATTTTCAAGCTTTCCCTGCTCAGCCTGACCCACTTCATAATTATTCTTGAAATGTCATCAGTTGGTTTTTTTGCACTTGAGTTTACAGGGTAAATCACCTGGATGGGAAAATGTACTGTAATCATTGTAGCACAGCTGACGGTTCAGTTTATTAAATGAAGGTGCAGTGAAGGAGGGAAGAAAAGAAAGGAGGAAAGGAAGATAAACAAAAGGATGTTTTAACTTTCATTTTCTAGTGCCTAAGGGCAGGGAGCACATGGTTTAAAAACACTTTTCATTCAGATTACAAAGGTACTGTGATGCAAAGATTCAAATGTTAGGAAAAGCTTGGTTTAGAAGTAGAATTCTTTGTTGTCATATCTCAATCAAGATAACAACTAATAATCTGTGACCCACTGTAAAACAAAACAAAACAAAAAAACAAACTCACTGCCAGTGGAGTCATTTCCCACTCATAGAGACCCCTCCTTGGTTTTCCCAGATGGTATCTCTATTTGGTGGCATAGTGCCTAAGGCTCTTGACTGCTAACCAGAAGCCTGGTGGTTCAAACCCACCAGCCACTCCTGAGAAGGAAGGTTGGGCAATCTACTTCCGTAGTGATGTTGTTGTTATGTGCTCTCGAGTTGGCCCCGACTCATAGCGACCCCTCCTTGGGTTTCCAAGGCAGTATCACTACGGAAGTAGGATTGCCCAACCTTCCTTCCGAGGAGTGGCTGGTGGGTTTGAACCACCAGCGTTCTGGTTAGGAGTCAAGTGCTTTAGCCACTATGCTACCAGAGCTCCTTAGTTGTACTGCCTCAGAAACCCAAGGAGGAGTTGCTATGTGTCGGGTCTGACTCCACGGTAGTGAGTTTGGTTTTTGGTTTGGTTTATCTCTACGGAAGTAGACTGCCCAATCTTCCTTCCAAAGAGTGGTGGGTGGTGATGCATGTTAGTGGTTTCATATGTTTGAAAGGTGAAGATTGTGTTTTATCAAGTATGTATGTGTATGTATGAGAAAATAAGTCAAGAGAGGTTGAGTGACTTGTAGAAGACTGCAGAAATGCATTTAAGAGTAAGGAACCCCCATGTTGGGGTGCCGGCTATCCTTCCCCTATGAAGAATGCTTTTGATGATTTTTCTTACCTGCTGGAGGTACTTGGCTACTACGGCCCTATGGGTGTCTATGTGGTCCTTGGTTTCAATTACATTTCTGTCTCGTAACCGTTTCTCATAGTCCTGAAATGAAAAGAAAGCAATACTTTTAGGATTTTTAAAGGACTCTCTGAAGCCTTTCTTGAGATTACAGAATTACTTATCACATGTGGTCTAAGTCTTAAATTATGGTTTTAATCATTTCTGCCACTTTCCTCCTAACTTTTGGTTCAGAATTGATCTTTCATGGGGTCACCAGGCTTCTGGATTATTTTCATGTAGGAAGAAAATAGAGTCCACAGAGGGTAGCAATAATGTGGTGATAATTCAAGATGATAAGCTCACTGAAGCAACCTAGCCAAGCCTCTACTTAAGTCTTGCCTTTTCTATTTAAGAAAAACAATCCCAAAAATAATAAAAATCTCCTTTCATCACATGGGTCACCTCTTCAGAGGAGAGTGTTGGAGGGAAAGCCAGACTCACTGCTATCAAGTTGATTCTGACTCATAGTGACCCCATTGGGTTTCCAAGGCTGTGATGACCCCAAATCTTTACAGAAGCAGACTGCCTCATCTTTCTTCCACAGAGAGGCTGGTGGGTTCAAACCCCAGCATTTTGGTTAGCAGCAGGATGCTTTAACCACTACACCACCAGAACTCCTTTAGAAGAGAAGAGTGGATACTTCTGGCTTTGTCGGCTCAGAGCTTTGTACTTTGCCTCCTTCTTCTATCAATAAGGGAGCTCTGGTGGCATAGGGCCTAAGGCATTTGAGTGCTAACCAGAGGGCTGGTGGTTCAAACTCACCAGCCACTCCTCAGAAGGAAGATTGGGCAATCTACTTTCATAGAGATACTGCTTCAGAAACCCAAGGAGGGGTTGCTATGAGTTGGATCCAACTTGATGGCAATGAGTTTGGTTTGGTTTTTGGTTTCTATCAAAATTCTGTGTGGACGCAGGTGGCTGCCATGTTCTCCTTGCAGCCATCTTTCTGGTCACAGAAGAGTGTCCAGGGATGACAGCTAACCCAGGCTGGGTGACTCAGAACTATTCCCAAGATTCTTGAGACAAGAAGAAATATCTCTCTCCTCTGGCTGAAGCTACTGGATGTGAACATTGGAAGATGTCACTGACCACATGACCAGAAAGAGAAAGCTTGTCTGTAGTGGAGGAGAACGAAGCCAACAGACCAAGAGCAGGGCAGGCAGGATGGAGGCAGGGTTGTTCCAGTGAGGCCCTGAATCCAGGTGTGCTTGAGACACAGATGCGTTCTCACCATTCACATGCCTTGAAATAATTAACCCTATCATGGCATCTCATCATTCAATACATTCTTCTTGGTGCCTCAGGTAGTTCATACTGGGTTTTTACCACTTACAAGTCATGAGTCCAAATTAAAACAAAGAAGAACAAAGTAACCAAAAATATAATCTAAGAGTAGTTTCTGCTGGAAAAATCATACTAGTATTACTTTCTTGGAGCTCCTAGGTAGCACAGACGGTTAAGTGCTTGTCTACTAACCCAAAGGTTGGTAGCTCGAAACCATGCAGAGGCTACTTGAAAGCCAGGCTTGGCAATCTACTTCTGGAAGTTCACAGCCTTGAAAACCCAGAGAGAGAAAGCCTTTCCCTAGAGCCAGTGCCCTGAATTTGGACATCTAGCTTCCTAAATAGGAGCTCTGGTGGTGTAGTGCCTAAAGCACTTGACTGTTGACCAGAAGACTCGTGGTTCAAACCCACCAGCCACTCCTCAGAAGGAAGATGGGGCAATCTACTTCCGTAGTGATACTGTCTCGGAAAGGAGGGGTGGCTATATGTCAGGTCCGATTCGACGGCACATAACAACAACAACAAAGCTTCCTAAACTGTGAACAAATAATCTGAGAAGCTAGACTGTATAAAGAAGAATGCGGCACCAGGGTTGGAGGAAGTTGTTGTTGTTGTTGTTAAGTGCTGCCGAGTCGTTTCCGACTCATAGCGACCCCATGCACAGCAGAACAGTTGGAGGAAGAGTCATTAATAATCTGCTGTATGCAGATGACACAACCTTGCTTGCTAAAAGTGAAGATAACCTGAAGACTTACTGATGAAGCTCAAAGACTACGGTCTTCAGTACGGATTACACCTCAACCTCACAACTGGACCAATAAGCAACATCATGAGACATGGAGAAAAGATTGAAGTCGTCAAAGATTTCATTTCACTTGGATCCTTAATCAACATCCATAGAAACAGCAGTCAAGAAATCAAATGTCATATGGCACTGGGCAAATCTGCTGCAAAAGACCTCTTTAAAGTGTTAAGGAGCAAAGATGTCACTTTGAAGACTAAGTTTCACCTAACTCAAGCCATGGTATTTTCCATTGCCTCATATACAATGAAAGCTGCGCAATGAATAAGGAAGACTGATGAAGAGGAGTTGCTGCCACTGAATTGTGGTGTTGGCCGAGAATACGGAAAATACCATGAGCTGCCAGAAGAGCAAACAAATCTGTCCTGGAAGAAGTGTAGCTGGAATGCTGTTTGGAAGCAAGTATGGCCAGATCTTGATCATGTTGTCAGAAGGGACCAGTCCCTGGAGAAAGATATGATGCTTGGTAAAGTGGAGGGTCAGCGAAAAGCAGGAAGACCCTCAATGAGGTGGATTGACACAGTGGCTTCGATTATGGGCTCAAGTATAGCAAGGATTGTGAGGATCTGTAGGCCTGGGCAGTATTTTGTTCTGCTCTATACAGAAAATCCTCACAACTGGACCAATGAGCAGCATCACAATAAATGGAGAGAAGATTGAGGTTGTCAAAGAATTCACGTTGCTTGGTTCTACAATTGATGCCAATGGAAGCAGCAGTCAGGACATTAGATGACGTGTAGCATTGGGGAAGTCCACTGTGAAGGAACTGTTTCAAGTGCTGAGGAGCAAGGATATCTCCTTGAGGACTAAGTTGCGCCTGACACAAGCCACGATATTTCCAATCGCCTCGTATGCATGTGAGAGCTGGACGATGAATAAGGAAGACCGAAGAAGAGTTGATGCTTTTGAGTTATGATGCTGGCGAAGAATGCTGAAAGTACCGTGGACTGCAAAAAGAACTAACAGATCTGTCCTGGAGGAAGTGCAGCCAGAATGCTCCTTGGAAGCAAGAATGGCCAGACTTCGTCTCACCTATTTTGGTCATGTTGTAAGAAGGGACCATTCCCTGGAGAAGGATGTCATGCTTGGTAGGGTGGAGGGTCAACGAAAGAGGGGGAGGCCTTCAAGGAGATGGATTGACATGGTGGCTGTGATGATGGGCTCAAGTATAGCAGGGATTGTGGGGCTGGCGCGGGATCGGGCAGTGTTTAGTTCTGCTGTGGATGGGGTCGCTATGAGTCGGAAGCGACTCGACGGCACTTAACAACAACAACTATACAGATAGGGTTGCTATGCATCAGAGCTGACTTGATGGCAACTAACAATGAGCTGTGGCAAAATTAATTTCTGTTTGTTAAAGCCATCTCCTTATGGTATTTCTGTTATAGCAGTGCTACATAACTAAGACTACTACTTTCCAATGGCTCTCCATCTACCTCATCAAATGCAATCTCCTGTGTCTGGCTTTTACTCGCCTACTTTACCTATACAGGCCTACTGCCCGTTGCACCCCCAAGGCTCCTCTGCTCCATGTCATCAGTCCTCCTCCCAGCCTTTGTTCTCCTGTAGCCCTTGCCTAGGAGGCCCAACCCTGTCCCCCAGTTCCTTCCTGCCCCACCCTTCCCCAAACCCAATCAAACCAAACCTACTGCCCTCAGTTAAATTCTGACTCATAGTGACTCTATATGTAGACAGAGTAAAACTGCTCCATAGAGTTTCCAGGGCTGTAAATATTCACGGAAGTAGACTGCCTCACCTTTCTCCTGTGGAGCAGCTGGTAGTTTCAAACTGTTGACTTTTTGGTTAGCAGCCGAGCACTTTAACCACTGTGCCACTAGGCTCCTTCCACCCATCCCAGGGCTGCTCGGATCCTACCTGTCTAGCTTTCCCTGCTGTCTTAGCACTTGCCTTTGTACGTGGTGCTTCGAAAGGACCTACTGGTTAAAATGGAATGAAATTCCGGGCTAAGTGGGATAATTAGCCCCATTAGCACTCAAAGGTATTTTCCAACCCTACAGTTCTGATTTCTCTTAGTTTACACGGCATTATATTGAATCAAAGAGTTTACACAAACACAGCATTCTTCAAGAAATGTGAAGAAAAGTTTAGGTATAAAAATTCTGTAAAAAAGGAATTGATAATGCAGACAATGTTACAATATATATGTAATAATATACATTACATTATGTTGTTGTTACTATATATACATATACAGTAATATATATACACACACATATGTACCCCTCCTTGGGTTTCTGAGGTGGTATCAGTACAGAAGTAGATTACCAAACCTTCCTTCTGAGGAGTGGCTGGTGGGTTTGAACCACCAGTCCTCTGGTTAGCAGTCAAATGCCTTAGGCACTACACCACCAGAGTTACTTATACATACATACATGTGTATATATATATATATATATATCACGTTATTTTATGAATGCCTTGAAGGCAATTTCTTACCTGGAATACCTTTTCCTTAATTTCTCGGTCATATATGGGAATTTGCTTATAATTTCGGAACTCTGGCACCCCCTGGCTTCGAAGACGAAGAAGTCTAAATCGTTTGGATCTGTTTAATTCCTCATCTGAAACAAAGTTAAATTCCTGCTGCAGCTGTTCCAGTCGAAAGAAGTCAGGGACATAGGATTCCCCACTGGTAGCCACCTAGACAAAAGAGAAAACGTGGAACCCCAGAGGACACGCAGGTGTCACCCACAGAAGTGTGCGTCTGGGCTTTTGTGAACAGAAAGGTAACTCTTTTCAACTGAGTGGCTGGACACATCCCATATTTAATTTAAAGACAAAACACAGTAAACATACAATAGTAATGAGGGACTTGCTATTTTACTCATCAGTTGCTGTTGGGTGCCCTCGGGTTGACCCTGATTCATAGCGGCCCTATGTGACGGGGTAGAACTGCCCCATAGGATTTTCTAGGTAGTAATCTTTATGGGAGCAGATCACCAGATCCTTCTGTGGAGGCTGAGAGGGTCTGAATTGCCGACCTTTTGATTAGCAGCCGAGTGTTTTCCTGTTGTGCCACCATAAATATTATTATATCATTTAGTAGCTGGAAAAAGTACCATAAATCATTTAAAAAAATTATATAAGGTATGTGTTTGTTATGCCTGCTTCCTTAATAGATCTTATGCAAATAGACAGACGGACAACTGAGAGATTTCTATCAGACCCCATTGTACTGCCAGGTAGGAATATAATAAGAGGACTCATCTACACAGTGAGTATATAACCTAATAAGTACATGACTGTTCCAATAAATTTGTGCACATTGAGGTACACAAAGGCCTCACAGAAGCTGATGGGTTTCACTCAGCTACATGGTCAGGCCATCCTGTCTCTGAATACCATTCGTAGTCTGGTCATTGGGGACACTGAGCCAGAGAGGGGTCAAACTTCCATGCCCTTGGACACTGGCACAGAAGGATGACTTTAGGATACCACTGGCTGGCTGTGCAGGAGGGAGGATACCACTGTACTCAGGTGACTGCTGGCCTCCGAGCTTGGCACTTTGCCAGCTGTGATCTCCTCCTTGGGAGCACGAAAGCCAATGAGCAGAAATTTGCTGGGTCTTTGTAATTAATAGGAAAAGGAGCTCTGGTGGCACTGTGGTTAAGGCACTAGGCTGCTAACCTAAATGTCTGTGGTTCGAACCTGCTAGCCGCTCTGCGGGAGAAAGATGGGGCAGTCTGCTTCCGTAAAGATTTACAGCCTAAGAAACCCTATGGGTATTGCTGTTGACTTGGAATTGACTTGACGGCAGTGGGTTTGGTTTTTTTTTTTTTTTTTGTGTAACAGAAAAGGTGAACCCTCATTCATAAGCAGAGTCAAGGCCAGAAGGCAACCCCTGTGTTTGTCCTTCTATGAGTGACAAACAGGAAGGAAAAATGAAGGTGCTACGTGTGTTATATTACTGCTGATTTAAAGATACCAGCTGTTGGTGAGCTGCCTCTGACTCAGGGAGACTCCATACGTGTCAAAACTGTGCTTCATTGCATTTTCAATGGCTAGGATCTCACATGGGAGCTCTGGTGGCATAATGCCTAAGGCGTTTGACTGGTAACCAGAAGGCTGGAGGTTCAAGCCCATCAGCTACTCCTCAGGAGGAACGTTAAGCAATTTACTTCCATAGTGATACCACCTTGGAAACCCAATGAGGGATCGCTGTGAGTCGGATCTGACTCAACGGCAGTGAGTTGATTTCTTTTTTTTTACTTTTTAATGATCTTATATGGAAGTAGATTGCCAGGACTTTCTTCCAACATAATTCCAGGTGGACTTGAATCACCAACCTTTCATTCAGCAGCCAATCATGTTAAGTGTTTATACCACCCAGAGACGACTCCTGATTAAAAGACAGTAAGTAAAAATGACTTAAAAGTTTGACATGAAATAGACCACACTTTAGATAATAATATGGCTTATTCTTCTAATATTTCTATTCTCCATATTAAGATGTAACATGTTGGAAGGAGCATTTATAAAGACAAAAGTCAGAATAAACCCAAGCTTGATTTGGGGAGTTGCCTTATGAAAATTAGAAGAGAAAAGAGAATTTTCATTCTGGTTATAATTATCCTACCGATGAACTCATACTCATAAATGTGATCCTAAGAATGTGTTGCTATGGTTACTCTCTGGTTCAGCTACTTGTTTATTCTTTTTTTATGGCATTATGAACCTGGCGGCAAAAACTGGTATCTGATACAAGAAACATTTACTGACTAAAGTTCCATTTTCACTTATAAATTCACTGAAGGACTTTGAATGTTATGGTAGAAACAAACCATTTGTCTGATAAATGATTAAATGAACCTAAATGGTAATCTAATTAGTCATCAAACAAGAAAAAAAAAATTCTTAAAATGCCCCTATCAGTATTTAAGGAGCTCTGGTAGCACAAGTGGTTAAACCCTGGAAGGTTTGTGGTTTGAGCCCACCAGCCACTCTGCAGGAGAAAGAGAGGGCAATGTGCTTGTGTGAAGATTATAGCCTTGGAATCCCTATAGGGCAGTTCTACTCTCTTCTACAGGGTTGCTATGAGTCAAAATCAACCTGGACAGCAATGGGTGGTTCAGTTTATCAGTACTTTAAGGTGTAGCAGGAAGAACATACATTTAGAAATCAGAACAACTTGGATCTGAGTCCTTCCTGGCTGTGTGACCTTGAGCAAGTTACTCTGAGTCTCTGAACTGTTTACTCTCAATAGAACAGGGAAAAGAAAACCTATCTCCCAGGGGTTTTATAGCGGTCAGTAACAACAATGACAATGACAGCTAACATCTAACGCAACTAAGGCTTCATGCGCACTAAGGCTTCATGCGCGTCTTCTCATTTCTCCTTAACAACACAGTGAGGGCAGAACTGAGGCTCAGAGGCACACAGCCAGGGAAGTGTCTGGTAACTGATGGAAAAGGCTGCCATTCAACCTAGAACTCCACTCCCTCAGAGAACACATAAAAGAAGTATGTCTAGACTGGTACCATGTCAAGTCTAACAACCGTGTGTGCGCGGGCCTCGTGCCACATTACCGAGATCAGCTGCATCAGAGGGGAGTTGTTGGGGTCATTCGGGTCAAGCTTGGACTCGGCTGCCCACTTGGCCAACTTTTTCATGTCGGTCAGTCCTGAAGTGCCAATAGATGAGATGGCGTCTGCTCTCTTCAAAGCACTGAAAAACAGGTGATTCCGAGAGACTTTACACAGAGCAGCTTTCATTAGGATCACGCCGTCCCTCGGCCAGCTTTGCATAAGGGGGCTATTCTGTTCTTACCGAAAAAGAAAATCTTATCTGAAGGAAGAACAGTCACCATGTGCCTTTACTTGGTGATTGCTATTAAATATGTTATAAGGAGAAGAAAGGAGTACTAATGGAAGGAATAAGGAGCTCTGATAGCATAGTGCCTAAGGCACTTGCTATTAACCAGAAGGCTGGCGGTTCAAACCCACCAGCCATTCCTCGGAAAGAAGGTTGGGCAATCTACTTCCATAGTGATATCACCTCGGAAACCCAAGGAGGGGTCCTTGTGAGTCGGGTCCGACTCAACGGCACAAAACAACAACAATGGAAGGGATGCAAATGTGACCATTTCTACAACCCAGCCTGTGCATAAAAGGGTCCCCACCAGACCCTGGAGCCAGGCCATTGCGAAGCAGCGTGGGCATCTGGTACAGGAAACCCCCAGGGCCTCATACCCCCAGCCGCTGTGGACCACTTGTAGCTGAGGATAAAATAAAAGAAAAATAAACACGTTAACAATGAGCACCAACTTTGGAGAAAACTGAGTGGAAGGCTGCGAGGGTTGTCAGCAAGGTTGAGCTGGGGTTTTATTACTAGCCCTGCCTATCTTGTGACTCACACTGTGCTTTATGGCTGTCTTCTGAGGATTTGGAAGCTTGAATCCCCAAGACATTTCTCCAGCACTAATTTCAAGTGAAATGAAAGTAAGACGCACAAGCTCAAAGGCATACACAAGTCTCCACTGAGATGGTTGCCAGTCTCCTGAGTTAAAAAGCACAGAGCAGCATGACCCTGGCTTTTGTGTGACACGGGGCTACATGTTGTGCATTGGGATGGAGCAGGCAGGGAGGGAACGCAAATGTGGCCATTTCTACAAGCCAGCCTGTGCATAACAGGGTCCCCAGCAGTCCTGGGAGCCAGGCCAGTGTTTGTTCCACGTGTCAAAAATTATAGTCTGTGACTTGGAAACTGTCCTCTTGGTGATCAGGGTGAATCTTCTTATTTTATAGATGAGGTAACTGAAGCCTGCAGTGGTAAGATGATGAACTGAAGACAGGTTGAGTAAGATGACAGAGCCAAGACTCAAACCAGTGTACTTGGCTCTCACAGTCCAGGTTTCCACACTAGTATCAACCACAGAGAGAAGGGGCAGAGAGCCCAGGGTAAACTGTTGAGGCCTAGAACCACTTTCTTCTGTTCTGAGTAGATACCAAAGGATCTGTCTATCAGGGAAGAGGGCAGGACAATAAGGACTTTCATGTAACTACCAGTAAACAGTTGCCATCAGGTTGATTTAGATTCATGGCAAACCCATGTGGGTCAGAGTAGAACTGTGCTCCATTGAGTTTTCAAAGGCTGACTCTCCAGAAGTTCGTTGTTGGGCCTTTCTGCCAAGGTGCGTCTGGGTGGATTCAAACCAATCTTTTGGTTCGCAGCTCAGCCCATTAACTGTGTGCTCCACGCAGGAGCACACGTTCATGTAACCAGAAGGCTCCTATACCAGTCATTATTATTCACAAAGCTTTAATGAGGGCCAAATGTATATAACTATATGCTTTATATTTTCCTCACTTGTAAAATGGGAAAAATAATACTTCATAGAATTATGATAAAAATTAAATTAAAAAAGGAGGTAAAGTGCTATTCAGAGTCCCTGACACATGATAACCTAATATTTGTTAAGCTATCAATATATTAACTTTTAATTTAAGAACAATAAAAACTCCTGAGATGTATTGCACCTGAGAATAAAATATAAGAATGTGATGTTGCCCATTTTTTTTGTTTTTATCCCTCTTTGGATACATGTAAGGAGCTTTGGTGGTTTGGTGGTTAGGGCATTTGGCTGCTAATGAAAACGTTGGTGGTTTTAACAAGCTGCTCTGTGGAAGGAAGATGAGGCAGTCTGCTTCCATAAAGATTTACAGCCTTGGAAAACCCACTGTGGGTCACTGTGTGTTGGAATCGACTTGACAGCAGTGAGTTTGTCTGGGTTTGGTTTGGATACATGTAATGCTACCCCTGACATTGCTCACTGCCTTGTTCTAGCTGCACATTACCTCCGAAATCCAATGTTCTGCTGTGACAGTGGAGGAATTAAAGGTATGCCATTTTCTCCAACAGCCCAGGCCACACTGTTGGACACTTTCCCTGAGGTCATTAGAATCAGTTGATGACTACCATCAGCTTCAAATGAGAAGGGCACGCCTACAGAAACACCAGATTAAAGAGGATATTTAAGGAAATAAAACAATTGAGAGGCTAATAAAAGAACAAGAAGCTCTCAAACCTAGCCAGACTCTTTGCAAAGGAATTGATAGAAATTAAAAATATAATAATTGAAGTTAGAAACTCAATGGATTAGTTTCAATAATTAGACACAGCCAAAGAGAGAATTCATGATTTGGAAAATAGATTTAAAGCAATTGCACAGATAGAAAACAGATATAAAGTATGTTAAAGTTAAGAAACATGGACGGCAGAATGAGAAGGTCCATCACATATGCAATTAGAATTATAGAAAAGATAGCTGAAAGGATATTATTTAATAATCTCCCTGTTCCTGATTATGTTATTTTCAATCTTATGAAAAACACTGTGATGTACATATTTTATGCATATTTTATAAATGTCAAATTAATTTCTGAGGACATATTCCTAAAAGTGAAAATAAGGTGTCAAATAGCATTTTAAAGGTCCTTAATTCACACTGCCAAGCTATTTTATACTTTCATAGTTATATGAATTTACATGACCATCTATATTATGTAAAAAATGACTTTGCACAAAATTATATATCCTCATTACTTTAATTTGCATTTCTGATTGAAATTTTATAAGGTTGAGCAATCTACTTCCATAGTGATACCACCTCAGAAACCCAACGAGGGGTTGCTGTGACTCGGGTCTGACTCGATGGCACATAACAACAACAATAAGTGAGTGCAAAAAAAAAAAAAAAAAAGGCATGTTCAAATGTGATAGTTAAACTGTGATATTGAGGATAATTCACTTTCCATACCACTTCCGACTCCCTCGTGGTCCAGTGTCACATGCTGATTACTACTAAACTCAACTTCTTCAATGAGAGCCCTTCCAGTGACAACTGTTGTTTCAGGGATAGGCAGAAACACTTCGGCTAGCAAGGTGGTACCACTGTGTCCGACTGTTTCATATACCTGAAACCGGGGAAGAGAAGGAGCAAAATAAAAATGGCACTAGGACACTTCCAGATAATCAGACCATATTGTTAATATTTGTGCTGGTCACCGTTCCAACCCAGAGGGTCTATCTCAGACTGGAAAAGTGAGCTCCGTTACTATAGTCCCCATGGATACCAAACTTGTGTTTGTGGCCAAGTTGTTGACACCCTGTGCTCTGGCCTGATCTCCTGGGATAGTGAGGGTATTCAAAATAGCAGACTACTACCGTTGATTCCATTTCAAGTCAATGCATAGTCTTCTTGGAGAGTGAGCTTCCTCCTTTTCCTGGTGCAGGTTGGTTTCTGACAGCAATGCCATCAGGTAGAATTGGTGAGACAATAGACACTTGCCCTAGATGGTTTATTAGCTGCACTGATGTCAAAGTGGTAGGAGAAGCACCATACCCAGAAGCATGCTGGAATGTCAGGTTCAGAAAAACTATTTAGTAACCTACTGCCATTGACTCAATTCTGACTCATAATGACCCCAATGGGGTTTCTAAAGCTGTAAATAACTTTACACAAGTAGATTGTCTCATCTTCCTCCCATGGAGCAGCTGGTGGGTTTGAGCCACTAACTTTTTGGTTAGCAGCCAATGGCCTTACCTTTGTTCTTGATTACCAAGGGGAAATTGGATTGATATTACATAATGGAGGTAAAGAAGAGTATGTTTGGAATACAGAAGATTCCTTAGGGTGTCTCTTTGTACTACCATGCTCTGTGATTCAAGTCAGTGGAAAACTACAGCAACCCAATTCTGATGTGACTACTCATGTTCCATACCCTTCAGAAATGAAGGTTTGGGTCACCCCACCAGGCAAAGAACCACAATCAGCTGAGGTGCTTGCTGAGGGCAAGGGGAATACAGAACAAGTGGTGGAAGAAGGTAGTTCTAAATACCAGCTGCAACCATGTGACCAGTTGCAGAAACGAGGATTATGATTGTTATGAGTATTTCTTCATTGTATGTGTTTTTCAAATAGTTTTTTTCTTCAATTATAAAATATAAGATGTAAACAGGGCTAATGTGGTTTTGGTTATGTGCTTGTTAATTATATCATGTTAGCTGCAAGTATGACTTTATAACTGTTTTTATTTAGAGATTAGGTGTGGTTTAAGGAGATGTGTACAAATGCCAAGTTGACAAGGGGTGGACTGTAATAGTTAAGGTAGTGTGTCAACTTGGCTGGACCATGATTCTAAGTGCTCTAAGCAGTTGTGATACAGTCCTCCCCCATGATGAGATCTGATCTAATTTAATCACTTCCATGATGAGATATGCTGTGAGGAGCCAATCAGTTGAAAGACATGTTGAGGACTGCCTACAATATATATTTGGATGTCCTGTGAAATTCTCTGGCTTTCTCCTGGATCTTGGCCCTACATCTATCTCATCATCTCCAGAGCTTACCAGTGGCCTGCCATATTGCCTGCCAATCTTAGGATTGTTGCTTTTCAGCCTGTGAGCCAACAATCTCCCTCTTTACTTGTTGATATTGAATTCACCATCTGCTGAAACCAGCAGCCTACTATGCGGCCTGCCAATCTTGGATTCCTCAGTCCCTGAAGCTGTATGAGACAGGATAAGCCTCCAGCTTGATGTTTGAACCATGAACTTGGGACTAGCTAGTTTCTCCTACACTATGAGACATTTCCTTGAGATAAATTGTGCTCTTTTTTTTTTTTTCTCTGTCTCTCTCTCTCTCTCTAAGGAGTTGTGGTGGTGTAGTGTGGGTAAGGCATTTGGGTAACCAGAAGTTTGGTGGTTCAAACCCACCAGCCGCTCCATGGAAGGAAGACGGAGCAATCTACTTCCATAAAGATTTATGGCCTTGCATACCCAATGGGGGTTGCGATGAGTTGGAATTGACTTGATGGCAGTGGGTTTTTTTTTTTTTTTGTGTGTGTGTGTATATATAAAAGCTTCACTGGTTTTGCTTCTATTTATTTCTTTAGTAAATCTCTCAAATTCTTCTGCTCAAGACCTCATATTTTTCAGCTGCTTAAACCTCACTCAACTCCTCAGACTTTCTCCTAAGATGGAGCTGACTAGATCAACTTGACCAGCTCTAAAATGAATTACCATGTTGTTGTTGTTGTTACTGTGGTGTATGCCATTATAATGCTAACACCATGAGACAGAGACCCCACTGTCAGGGCAACTATAGCTTATAAGTGTAAAACCCAGCTTGAGTTGAACCATGTGCTCCAGTTGGTTAAGTTCTCCCTGTATTGTTGGCTCATCTCACTTTCATGGTAAGAAGATGGCCAAGTATTTCACAATTCTATTTGCTTCTTTTCTAAATTTTGTTTTTTCTGTCTCTCCATGAAATCTCTCTTACTGGTATATATTTCTCTAAAAATGGTAATTTTACTCTTTCTGTTTCTATTAATTAATAGATGTATGTTTCTTCTTAAGCAGCAGAGTCCCCCTGATCAATATTTTCCACTTAAGACTTTGAATGCACAGAGATGACACTATGGGTCTTCTCCACCCAGATTTTGTTAAAGGGCATGTGCTCTAAGTTCTTTATCCAGGGTTGAGAAGGAATTTGTGCTGACCTAGCATTCCGGGTCTCATCTTCCTGGTCTCAACCAGCTCACATTTACAAGATGGCCGATTGAGCTTAGAGTGGCTACTGGGGCAATGACAAATGCAAAAGTTGCACAGGAATTGAACTCAGAATCCCAAACTTAAATTTACTGCAAGATAGTCTTACAGGTTGGATACACCTAGAGACTTGTGATTGTTGCCTTGTGATTGTTGCCTTGTGATTGGATGGCTAAGTCTACCTAATTCAGAGGCTCAGAAGGAAGTCCATAGTGGCTGTACACTGTATACTTGAACCACATTCTCCAACTTTATCAGTAAAAAGGTGAGGATATTTTGATCTATATTAAAACCATCTATTTATTTATTTATTTTTCCTTTTTTTTTTTTTTTT